ACCTCGGCGAGCTGGGGGAAGCTGCGCAGCGCCGCCAGCTGGCGCAGCTCCAGGAGGCGCTGGCGAAGGGCGGCGCCAGCCGGCTGGAGCACTATGTGCACAACGTGGTGGGCGCCCTCAACCTGGCGCCCGCCATGTTTGGGCAGCGCGAGACCTACCTGGATGCAGTACGGCGTCGGCAGGACCGCGAGGCGCTGGCGCAGCTGCGCACCGGGTCGCATTGGGGCGCGGAAGAGACCGGCCGCTGGACGCGGCGCCCCCGAGAGCAGCGAGTCTGCCCCCACTGCCACGACGGCATTGAAGATGCCCCCCACATGCTGCTCACCTGCCCCCTTTACGCCCCGCTGCGCCTCAACTTTCCTGACCTGTTTGCTGAGCCCCATCCTCCCCACCGCTTCCTCCGCCAGAAACCGTGCCGCCTCGCCGCCTTTGCTGCCGCCTGTCACCAGCGCTGGCTGACCGCCACCGTTGCGCTGCCTGCAGTCCCGCCCTGAACCCCCACTCTCATGTCCACCCCCTTTGCTCTTACCGCACCACACCTGCTCCACGACATGCAGTACTGCCTGCCCGCTCACACACTAAACGCTCGGTGACCTGTCAGTTGGCCTGTCCTGCCTGTTGTTCTACTGCTTCATCCCTCCTTGCTCGAACAACAAAGTCTGTGCTGCAAGCTTGTTCTTGCTGAAACCAGACTGTAAGCCCACACAAGCAAAGCAAAGCACAGGGCCCAGTGCCGACGTCCTGCAAGTGCCGCCGGTGGCGGGAGTGTCGGACGCCGAGTGCACCTCGAGTGCCGGACGCCGAGTGCACGCCGAGTGCACCGCCGCAGCTAAGAAAGGCCTTCTTTGAAGGCGCTGGAGCTAGTGTCTAAACCCTCCGAGAGGGCACAGGTTCGATTCCTCCCATGTCGAAACTTTGTGAGGACAAACGCGGCATAGCTGACCGGCTCAGCGCCAATCCAAGCCAATTCCTTCGGGAACGCCTAATAGAATCGCCAAGGCTTCGGCACAGGCCTCCCCGGGACCCATTCACTACTAGTGGGGGGTACTGCACTTGGCGCGTCGGGCAGATCAAATAATGGTCTAAAGCTAGACGTTAAAACCGGGAAGTTAAGCTTGTGGAGGCTCTTCCCCACCTTTACCTTTACCTGCACCTCCATCACCCTCCAGTGAGCGCCCCACTGTGGCCTGTGTGCGTGGATGCGTGCAGGCTGCCTCGACATATGCCCGTACATATGTGCCCGCCCGCCTGCGCCTTGCAATGCTGTGCGGTGGAGACGGCTCTCGCATCACCTGGTCCCGCTGTGGCAGCGCTGGCTGCGGCGGGCAGCCAAACTCTGGAACAAGACGCTGGAGGAGCGTCCCGGCAGCCTGTTGCAGCAAGCGCTGTTGTCCAGCGTGCAGCTCGCAGATGGCGCCCACCCCCTGGCACAGCAGTCCTGGGCTGCCCAGCTGGCGGCCGGTCTCGCAGCGGTCGGCATGCAGCTGGACCTGCAGCAGCCAGCACCTGTTGACCTCGGCGAGCTGGGGGAAGCTGCGCAGCGCCGCCAGCTGGCGCAGCTCCAGGAGGCGCTGGCGAAGGGCGGCGCCAGCCGGCTGGAGCACTATGTGCAGCTGCGCACCGGGTCGCATTGGGGCGCGGAAGAGACCGGCCGCTGGACGCGGCGCCCCCGAGAGCAGCGAGTCTGCCCCCACTGCCACGACGGCATTGAAGATGCCCCCCACATGCGCTCACCTGCCCCCTTTACGCCCCGCTGCGCCTCAACTTTCCTGACCTGTTTGCTGAGCCCCATCCTCCCCACCGCTTCCTCCGCCAGAAACCGTGCCGCCTCGCCGCCTTTGCTGCCGCCTGTCACCAGCGCTGGCTGACCGCCACCGTTGCGCTGCCTGCAGTCCCGCCCTGAACCCCCACTCTCATGTCCACCCCCTTTGCTCTTACCGCACCACACCTGCTCCACGACATGCAGTACTGCCTGCCCGCTCACACACTAAACGCTCGGTGACCTGTCAGTTGGCCTGTCCTGCCTGTTGTTCTACTGCTTCATCCCTCCTTGCTCGAACAACAAAGTCTGTGCTGCAAGCTTGTTCTTGCTGAAACCAGACTGTAAGCCCACACAAGCACAAGCCTGGTGTAAAGGTAAAGGTGGGGAAGAGCCTCCACAAGCTTAACTTCCCGGTTTTAACGTCTAGCTTTAGACCATTATTTGATCTGCCCGACGCGCCAAGTGCAGTACCCCCCACTAGTAGTGAATGGGTCCCGGGGAGGCCTGTGCCGAAGCCTTGGCGATTCTATTAGGCGTTCCCGAAGGAATTGGCTTGGATTGGCGCTGAGCCGGTCAGCTATGCCGCGTTTGTCCTCACAAAGTTTCGACATGGGAGGGAATCGAACCTGTGCCCTCTCGGAGGGTTTAGACACTAGCTCCAGCGCCTTCAAAGAAGGCCTTTCTTAGCCGCGGTGTGCATGCTCCCGACACATCCAAGTGCCACTGCCGGCGTCCCTCCGCCCGCACGTGCCTGGCTGCATCCACCGCTGCCTTGCTTTTGCTTTTTGTGCGTTCAGTATGCATGTCTGCACAGGCCTGGGAACTTGCGACACGGACCCCCTGCCTGCCTCTCTGCCCATCGCCAGGTCCCAGGTCCAGCTGGTCCACACTTCCAGCTGGTCTCCCTGCAGGTCCACATCTCCTACATCGGCTCCGGCATCGATGTGACCGACGGCACCGGCACCGATGTGAGGGTACACATCCTCGGGCCTGGCGGGACCATCAACGGCGAAAGACACGGTACCGCCTCCTTCCCCGTCCTGTCCCTCGTCAACGGCCCCGGGACCTACGTCGCCAGCCTGTTCCCGCCCCAGCGCCTCGCCATCGGCACGGAGGCCGGCACCATCCAAGTGGAGGTGCGGCCGCTGGGGGCAGCTGCTGTGGCGGTGTACTGTGTTGGGGTATCGCATTGGCCCCAACATGCATACAACAGGGGGGGGGGGCTTCCAGTGTGCATGCGCACGAGGCCGGCTTGGATGGCGCCATATGGGGCAGCCTTTCGCGGCCGTGCTCCCCCCGCCCCTCGCGCTTCCTCCATGCCCATGTCGGCAGGCCGGCTTGATGGGCGGCGCTGCACCAGCCGACGCCTTTGTGGCCGTCAGCATGCTGGTGGACTCCACCGCGCCCGACCCATATTTTGGCGAGGCGCGCAAGTGAGGGCGGCCTGCACCACTTGAGGCACGCTGCACCTCCCCACCCTGGTCATGACCCACCCCTCACCCGGCCGTGCCGTCCACCCGAATCCTGCGCTCGCCCGCGCACAGCTGTAAAGGCTGGGGCACCACGCTCACACCCACCCCGCCCATGATCACTTGCACACGCATTGTGGTGCCTTGCACCCCAGTGTGTGGGCTTAAAGTCTGGTAAAGCAAGAACTAGCTTGCAACATAGACTCCCCGCCGAAACGGGACGGGAACCGGGCGAAAGCAGAGAAAGCAATAAAACAGGGGTGGAGCAAGGCGACATGGGTCCCGGGGGAAGGTGGTCAGAGCGCACTGAGCTCGTACATTGACATGACTGTGTCGTGCGACGAAGATCCGCCCAAAGAGAGCTGGACCTGCTCCGGCATTGAGGTTGGTGCCATTTGGGCTGGCGTGCTGAACCCCGTGGCCGGAGCCGTCCTGGGCACCCTCAAGGTTGCCTGCGACCTCACCTGAAAATGACGGCCGCTGCCGCTGATGCAAGAAAGGTGGCGGCTTTTCCGCGGAGTTCATGCCAATTGATGTGATCTTCCTGTTCAACCGATAATTTCATAGCCCCCATATATACTCAATTGTTGTAAGGAACCGCTAAGATTCAGCTGGGTGGGGCTGCACGCTTCTTGCACTTCAACTGGCAAATTGCTCTTCTGACGCCTGCCGACCGCTACCGGGGGGCAGGGCGGCTGCTGGTCTTTACAACAACAAAGCATGGCAATCAATGCAGCGAGATTTTTACATGTAAATTGAATTACCCACTGCTGCTGCGTGACCATGCAATGAGCGGTTGGTATGAGCGGTTCATTCATTCATTCAGCACACAGCCCGGCCGCCTCTTGCTCGAGGGCGGCCCACTTTGGCCTGGGCAGCCCGGGCCGCCCTCCCCCCCGGGCGCATGTTCGGTGTTGGAGGGGTGTGCCCAGCGATAGGGGGCCCCTGAAGGCATGCGCCGAGGCCGGGAAGCGTGGTTCGGCGCTGCTGCACGCTTGGCGATTTGACCAGAACCACGTGCCGCCGAGCTGCGGCCGCAGTTTCCGGCCCACGGTCTACGGTCGCAGCCACGGGACTCGGCGGCACGGCGTTTGGGCCCAAGCTTGCTGCCGCCGCCGCCGTGCCCGGGGGGCAGCGCGGCGGCGGCGGCGGCACGCTGCGACGCCCCCGTGCTGCCGAGCTGCGGCCGTAGTTTCCTGCCAGAAGCCCACGGCCACAGCCACGGGACTCGGCGGCACGGAGTTTCGGTCCACGGCTTGCTGCCGCCGCCGTCGCAGGGGTGCTGCCTGCGGCGGCGGCGGCACGGCGTTTGGGTCCACGGCTTGCTGCCGCTGCCGCCGCCGCAGGGGTGCTGCCTGCGGCGGCGGCGGTAGCGCACGTGGCAACCCCCCGCGTTTCCTTGCCTCCCATCCACCGGACCCCGTCCTGCGCTTCACTTTGTTTAGGGAGGGGCTGCTCACTGCTCATTGCTCATTGCTCATCGCACACTGCTCAACGCTCATTGGCCCTATATCCCACCCAGCCGCAGGAC